TTCATTTATAAAAATCTTACTTTGTTATATAGATATTTAGTTTGGAACTAAATAAATATTTACTTTGCAAAATAAATATTTAGTTTCTTAAATAAATATTTAGTTTCTTAAATAAATATTTAGTTTCTTAAATATGTATTAAGGTACAAACTAAATATTTAATTTGGAGCTAAAAATTGATTTAACAAACAAAATATTTAATTTGCAAACTAAATATTTATTTTGTAGCTAAATATTTATTTAACAAACTAAATATTAAATTTGTAGCTTAATATTTTTTTTTAACTTTTTTTTTTTTTACAAACTTAATATTAATTTAACAAACTAAATATTTATTTGCAGCTTAATATTTTTTTTTTTTACAAATTTAATATTTAATTTGCAAACTAAATATTTAATTTGTAGCTTAATATTTTTTTTACAAACTAAACATTTAATTTCCAAACTAAATATTTATTTTGTAGCTAAATATTTATTTAACAAACTAAATATTTAATTTGTAGCTTAATATTTTTTTTACAAACTAAACATTTAATTTCCAAACTAAATATTTATATAACAAAGTAAGATTTTTATAAATGAATGAATGAAAAAATAACCCTTATTTTTTCTTAAAACACGCTAAATAAACATAAATATTGCTCCTAATTTTTGACTTTACAAATGGTGCCCCATAGAAAGTCTGTTTAACCAATCAGATGCTCCCTGTGGAGTTCCTCTATTATTCCTCTACTGAAGTAAAATCTTCTATCCATGACAAAAATGAAACTAAAATGTATTTTTCAGTGAAAAGCAACGGCTTAAGATGATTTCTGTTTATTTTTTAAAGTTTTTACCATTCGGCCGATCATAAAGTAGAGCAGCTGGTGGGACAGAGAGTAACACGGACAACCGAAACGAGTCATGGTGTCCCGGCAGGGTTTGGTGACGATGCAGGGCGTCCCGTTCATCTTCCTGTTCAACCAGAAACACATCAACCAAACAAAAGGGGGTGCTTTAAAACTGCAGCTAAAAATGCATCTGAATATTTCAGAGCAGAAACCTTCTACTGTATCTAATCTCTTCTGGTCATACCAGGTCCCCAGCAGCAGAGTCAGGCACTTGTCGCTGAGCTGCTCATCATAGCACTCGGATGTCAGGGTGGACGGGTAAACCAGGCTGGGATCAGTGGTGCGCCACTCCTGAGGAATCGTCCAAAACGTCCAAGTCAGCAGAGGCTCGAACTCTTAAAAAAAGAAAGAATGGGAACTTCTCTGAGTTCTGAGGATTCAGACGAATCTTAGTTCAGATTAATCCACTTTGCAAGCAGATTTGATCCGATCGTTTTAAGCATTAATGCGGTAGAAAGAAAAAAAAACAGGAGCCAAAAAAGCATCCCTGTGGAACACCACGGCTGCACTATAGGAACTATACAGTGAACTTTATAGTGAACGCAGTTAACTGACCGTTCAGACAGATGATCACTAACGATCACAGACAGAGAATCGCTACTCCTCCTCCACCGCGCCGTGCTTGCGCCATCTTTGTTATTAGTACCCGCTGTCGGGCAGCGTCCGCCTATGGCGATAGCAGGCCGCTGTGGGAGGAGAGCTCTATAGAGTGGGGACTATAGTGGACTTTACACCTTGCTCACACTGAATCCGGTGCGGTTACCGAGCCGACGGAGACCGCAACTCCCGCACACCCCCTCTCACACCGCCCTTTTGACTACGGTGCGGTGCGGCTCTGCGGCTCCGGCAACAGGTCCGGAGATTTAACAGAAGTTCACTTGAGTTCACGTAACTTCACGCGATAACACGGCCCAAATAAGGATATTTGCGAGAGCTTGTTGCGGAGGGCTCCGGCACGCCGCAAGGATAGCTTTCTTGCGGAATTTTCTGCAGCGCCGGAGTGTCTCGGTAACCGCAGCCGGACAGCTCAGCAGCCGGTGAGAGAGGTTTACGTCTTTTTAATGACTTGAAATCACTGCGGCGCCGCACCCACCGCACCGCAACGGTAAGACCGGAGTCGGTGTGAGCCTGGGGTTATAGTGAACTCAGTTAACTGACCGTTCAGATAGATGATCACTGCTTTTGGTCACTAACTCCTCCTCCACTGCACAATGCTGGGCTCCCCACTAGGCCCCCTGCTGGGCTCCCAATGGGCCCCCTGTTGGGCTTCCCCACTGGGCCCCCTGCAGGGTCCCCGTGCTGGCCCCCCGGTTGGGCCCTCCAATGGGCCCCCTGCTGGGCTCCCAATGGGTCCCCTACTGGGCTCCTCACTGGGCTCCCCCACTGGGCCCCCTGCTTGGCCCCCTGCTGGGATCCCCACTGGGCCCCCTGCAGGGTCCCCGTGCTGGTCCCCCGGTTGGGCCCTCCAATGGGCCCCCTGCTGGGCTAACCCCCTGGGCCCCCTGGTAGATTCAGTGTAGAATCCCCACTGTATGGAAGTTTCTCTGATTAATTCCATATTATTTGTTTGAAATGGTAGGAAAGAGTTTTTTCAGGTTGTTCCCTGGCATCTCTTGACTGCGGGGCCTCCAGCTACTGACGGTTCCTCTGGTTCTCTCTCCACTGCAGCACCGGAGCTCCGGTTCCAGGCCAGCCTGGACTGTCAGAGATCCGGTTCTGACAGAACTTCTGGGTCAAAGTTCATCTAACTCATTTGGAGGATTATTTTTTTTGTCCCTCCCATTTCAAAGAGCGGCCATAGGGGCCTGAGTCAGGCCTCAGATTTCTTATTAAACTCTCTTAGACACTGAAGCAGGTTTAATCTAGACTCCACAGCTCTGCTTCCTCACCTCTGTAATATTTGGGGTCATTCAGCTTGAGAGCGGCGACCGCCTTCTCCAGGCTTTGATCGAGACGATTCAGCAGCGTGACGGCGGTGGTCCTCTGAGCCCAGCTGAGCGGGTCGGTGTGAGGCCAAGTCCGCACCGCCTCCTTCAGCTCAGCTTGGACACGAAAAAAAATCAAAAACATTTTTCTTCTTCAGACTTAAATCTTTTCTGCATCTTGATGTGTTTATTCTGAGAATATTTACTAGATTAATTCTTCCGTTATTTTATCTTTGTTTAGATATTCCCAGGCTTTCGGTAGTTCGCTTTAAATGTTTCAAGTCTAATTTCAAAATTAGAAAGAAAAGGTGAGAAAGCAAAGAAATCAGTTTTTAAATGATAACATAATAAAAAAAAGATTAGTAATGCAAACGCTCTGTGTGAAAAAGTAATGATAGACATTCAGCTACATTAGACTGTTTTAAACAGAAGCCCCAGACCATCACACCACCACCACCGTGCCTGAATGTTAAAAGTCATATTCAGAATTCTGAAAGTATATGAAATTAATACAATTTCATACAGAAATAAATAAGTAATACTATAAGGTTAAATGTTGATTTATTTTTATATTTTATTTCATAAAAATTTTACAAATGTTATCTTTTGCATATATTTACATGTATTTGTCATTTTAGGGACTCTTTTTTTATTTAAATGTTTCTCAGCTGGCATCAGATAACTTTTCATTTATATAATTCAAGTATGTACTTTATAAACTGGGACTTGAACAAATAGCCTCGTGAGACCATCCTGATCTAGTGAGCTTTCAAGATTTCACTAATCAGTCTGGAGATAACCTGACTCCACCAGATGGATTTGCTCCGCATATCCATCTAGAAATAGCCTGACGTAGTCCTACTCAATTCTAGTCA